CACATCTTGATTGGTCAGTAGGGTAAGCTAGAGTCCTTCAGAGTTATCTTGGAGCCTGATAACAGGTATCTGTTAGGCGTGTGGTCCAGCAAGTATTCAGTGTCTGTTCCTCATCCTGAGGTGTTCTGTCTGATCCGTTCTCTTTTACAAACAAACAACAGATTCTCTCAGCAACAAGCAGTTCCAGTTATTTACAGAAAATAAAATCGTCATCACTGCAATTTTTACTTTAGTTTGGGGATAAAACAGCAGAAGGTTCTGATCTCCTGCAGATCTTCTCAGCTGCCTCCTGAAGCTATCACAGTGACCCCCGGCTGCCTCAGACTGTATCCTGGCCTGGCTTGTCCTCTCCTCGTAGGTGTCTCCTGGTCAGATCAACCATCAACCACCTCTGAAAGACGGAGTGACCTCTGACCCGCAGCGCAGACCCAGTAAGGAGCTGAGTCCTGGTGAATTTAATGTAATTTTGGTTCTGCTCAGGTCATTTTAGCTGCTCGATAAATATCATTTATTTGCTTGTGGTGACTTAATCTGACCCAACTGAATAACATCTTTCAACCAAATTCCAAAGTAAACTATTTATCAAATAGTTAAACTTTCTCTAAATTTCTGTGCAGGTTCTAACCTAAATAATTCCTGCACAAAAATAATTTTGTTTTAGATAAAAGAGAATTAAACCTTTTATTTTAATGGTATATAACATTTTTCAACCAAATTCCAAAATAAACTATTTATCAAATAGTTAAACTTTCTCTAAATTTCTGTACAGGTTCTAACCTAAATAATTCCTGCACAAAATTAATTTAGTTTGAGATAAAATAGAATTAAACCTTTTATTTTAATGGTATATAACATTTAATTTAATTATTGCTTTTTAGTTATTACCCAAATGCTTATTAAGACTATTTATTCACCATTTTTTTATATGTATTTTAGTTGTTTTTTTTTGTTTTGTTTTTTAATTGTGTTAATTTTGTTTTTGATCAATTGTGTTTGTAATAAAATAGTAAAAGATGAAATCAGTTTCCTCCTCATTCAGCATAAATATTGTGGTATGAATTCTCTGTAGTTACAAGTTCATCTTCAGCTTTTGATTCTGATAATTGTAGGATGAGTTTAATGATTGAATGTCCATAAAGTAATTTTTCTGTTTTCACTGAGCTCTTCAGTCTGGTGCCTCATCCTCTCAAGGTCTTTAAACGGTAGAAGAGTGGAGAAAAAGCATCACCCTCGTCTTCCTCACTCACATCTTCCTGACGGTAGCCATGAATGGACCAGCTATCCTGCTGCTCCTCAGTGGTAAGACTGCAGTGATATTTCAACACAGTATTGAACTTGATTTTATTTGGTCCTGAACCGTCTGGACCCCTGTCCTCCTCAGCCTGTGTGGTCAGTGGGTCAGCTGAAACCAGAGCTCTTTGGCAGCTTGCAACAATGATTGTTTGTACTCAGCCAGATGTTGAGCCATTGAAATACAGTGATTACGGCTGCTATTGTGGCTTCGGAGGAGGGGGAACTCCAGTGGATGAAGTGGACAAGTAAGAAACAAGAATATTTTATTTCAACAACAAAAAACACGTAGTCTACAAATGTTCTATTTGTTTTCCTGCTGCATTCTCAGGTGCTGTCAAATTCATGATGATTGCTATGGAACATACCAAACGACTCCAGGATGTACGTCTATATTTTTCAGTCCCTACATTCTTGCTTATCAATACAGCTGTTCTGATATACAGGTGACATGCTCAGGTAAGGATGTCATTTTACTGCGGATATTTGGACAAAATATAAACATCTTAGTAGTTTCTCCAGCTTTCGCCATGCTTTTTTTAAGTATTGTATTTAGATGTAAAACTTCATTTTCCTGTTTTCTATAACCCTGATGAGCTTGTATTCTGTTTGCAGAGGCCAACGAGAAGTGTCAGGCTGCTGTGTGTAAATGTGACCGTGCAGTGGCTCAGTGCCTCGCTCAGAACGCCAAACTCTACAATCCTGCAAAAAAAGCCTGAATTTCAAGCAACGCTGCGTCAACTCACATTAAAGGAAAACTTGACACATACTTTATCTTCCTGATTATTAATAACAAAGTAAAACAAGTCTGATTTCATTAAAGGCTCTTAATTATTACATTGACTGTTTAACGTGTTTGGAAATGTTGTTTCATAATTTATTGTATCCAATGTGTGTCTTGACTCTTTAGTTTAATATTCAAACAAAATTAGATAAAATCTGTGCAACTGCGTCATACACACTCCCAGTGATTTTAGTTTCAGTATTTGCAAAAAATTGGAATGATGTCACATTTTTAATAACTACTTTTCAAACATACCAAATATGTCAACACATAACCTTATAATTGGTGCTGATGACACAAATCGTGTACTTTCATCTCTTGACTGTAGTTCGATGTGGAAAACTACCCTGACTAAGACCGCTCAATCAATCCATTCATTCCTTAAATCTTATGGTGTGCCTGATGTGTGGCACTTCCATAATTCTACTTTGAGATCATACTCAGTTCTTTTCCCCTGTTCATATGACGTATTATTATTATAATTGATTACTTCTTCCTTGATAAACAAATTCTGCCTTTAATGAGAAAATGTGATTATGGGGCCAGGATTATTTCTGACCATGGTCCACCTATTATGAAACTGCTTATTCCAGTCACAAAATATTTATATCTTCCTTGGAGACTTAACCCCTTGTTCTTGTCTGAGGAGGACTTTATCAAATTTCTTACATCTGAAATTGAATTCTTTCTAGATGTTATTCGAGCTTCTTAAATCACACATATCCCAGGTGAAATTTGATAAGTTGGCCTGCTTCAAGGTCAAACAGGGGAGTCAGATTCAGATAAGCCACAGTTGTTAATTTTTTTTTAGGCAGCCTGTTGTTTCCCGTCAGCCTTGAGCTCTGCTGGTTCTTTTGATATCCAAAAAGGCCACATTTGTGGGCATTCCACTGGTCCATGCTTATTAGCTCCCTCCAAGGTCATCCCCAACATGCTGGCGTGTCTCAGAAGCCGCAAGTGGCCTCCAGTTCTCACAAATTGCTTCCATCTTACAGCTGAGCTCATAAACCAGCTGATTTTGAGTGCTTGAAGCACGAACCAAACCTTCACACAACGTCGGCAGCTTTGCCATGGCCAAAACTGCTGCCACTGTCTTCTTTAATAACCGATAACATAGGTACAGTATTTGCAGGTGCCAAAAAGCAGAAACCCTGCTATCATGATTCCAATGATATAGACATCTTTGGCGTCCTCCTGAGACAATACAGAAAGGTACATCAAATTCCAACTCCCCCACAGATCGATGACGTACCCTGCCACTAGGGCTGGGCCATACCATATCGTTCACGATAATACCGGAAAAAAAAGCTAGCCCAGGAAAATTAATTCTATTGAAATATTATTTTATCTGATAATATATTAACTTAATGAAATGTCTAGATGTATGTATCCTGTTTTGTTACTTAGAATGATATTGTGTTAAAACACAATCAGATTCTTTTTCTGGTAGAAAATGTAGTTTTAGTTACATGCCTACAACTCCCAAACAATCACCCACCCACCCACCCATTATAGAACACAAGATGGCGAGATATTATTGATTGAGAGCTGGGTCACATGATAGAGTAGGGATCCCCGTTTGTTGATGGTGGTGACTCCTCCTGGGAGGTGTGGCCGAGCTCTGAAGAAGTTGGGTTTCCAGTTTACACTCGGGGCCATTGTTTGTGACCGCATGGTGGAGTTACAATGGCCCAGGCCTGTGATCTTTGTGCTTTACATGTGGGTAAAATAAACCTTGTGAAATGGAAGACGAGTGCTCCTCCTCGCCCTGCTTCAGATCAGAGCATAATTTAACACTATCATGAAATGCTCATTTCATGACATAAATACGTCAGTGTTTCCCCTACCATTACACAAGCGGGGCACCCAGCCCAGTTAACAGAATCGAATGCGCCAAACTACCGGACCGAACTGCGCACCTCCCTACCCACTGTCGGTACTGGCATTAGCTGCACACAATACTAGCTAGCTAAAAAGCTAAAAACAAACAACACGAAGCTCAGCTGTGTCTCTCCACCCAGCTCTAAACTGTAGGTACAGACAGTGACAGCTCAGCTGTCTCTCCCTCCCCCCAACCCGCTCTAAGCTGTAGGTACAGACAGTGACTCGGCTGGGTCTCCCCCAACTCTAAGCTGCCGGTACAAACATGCGCAGCTCAGCGGTGTCTCTTGAGTTCATCAGTCCATGGACCAAGAAAAGAGGCAGGTGATGAAAGACAGAGCAGTCAGAGAAATGGAATCATTCCTGCGAGGAAGCTGAAACACCAACAAGCTTCAGGGTCAGCTGATCACCTTGTTACAACTTGTACAAGTTATATCTCATTTAAAGGCAAAATATATTTGTAACATTTATGCATTTATGCTCAGCAGATCTTAAGCTTCATTTTATTTAGTTATTTTGGGAAACTGCACTTTAATTTTTATGGTAGATTTTGTTGATCTATATTTTGTGCAGACTTTTTCAATTTAAATAACAGAAGGATCATTTTTATTTTTTTATTTTTATACTTTCGAGACTGAATGCTTTACCAAATAAAGTAATTTCAGTAAAATTAACCCTTGGTGTTTTTTTTTTTGTTTTTATATAATACTAGAACGCAACAAGTTAATTTTGTCAAATTAATAACTATGATTTCTGTTTTTTTGGTTATATCACAAAATTTATTGTTATTGTCAGAATGCTCTGAAATATCACCATATTATATTTGAGCCATATCGCCACCCTTACCTTCCGCGTCCATCTCTGTGGGGCATGAGGGTTCTCCAGGACCTTTTCGCTTGGTTGGAAAATAAAAATATTGATTGAGTTGAAAGTCCAGCTGACCAGATCCATGACAGTAGTTTATGATTCAGACGATGTGTAAATAGAAGCTTTGATGCACAAGACATAGAGCAAAAAGCAGGAGGAGGATGGGAGAGGGAAGAAAAACATCCATCTTGCTCGGGAGCGAGTGAAGAAAAAAAATTGATACCTTCTCTGGGATAGGTGGAAAAACTGTGTACCCTTCATCATTTATTTCATTGTTTGGGTTGACCCCTGTGGATGTGCCACTATGTGTGGATGTGGATTACATAGAGAACCACAAAAATCAACAGGGGGGCAGAAAAATTAAATAAATAAAACACAAACATAAATTATGTAGTTGATTGTTTAACAATTGCAGCACGGTGGCGCAACTGGTAGAGCTGCTGCCTCTCAGCAAGCAGGTCCTTGGTTCAAACCCTGGTCCAGGGGCCTTCTGGGTGGAGTTTGCATGTTCTCTCCGTGCATGCGTGGGTTTTCTCCGGGTACTCCGGTTTCCTCCAACAGACCAAGAACATGCATGTTAGGCTGATTGGTGACTCTAAATTGTCCCTAGGTGTGAGTGAGAGAGTGAATGGTTGTTTGTCTCGTTTGTCTCCATGTGTGCCTGTGATGGACTTGCGACCTGTCCAGGGTGTACCCCGCCCCTCGCACAGTGATTGCTGGACATGGGCACCAGCGACCCCCATGACCCAAAATGGAATAAGCGGGTAAAGATAATAGATGGATGACAATTGTTATTAAGAAGCCACTGAAGTGTTTTAACATGTTTTCAGTTTTGTTTTTCAGAAATGAATTTCTCTAAGAGAAAACCTTTATGTGTAAACTTTTGGGCAGAAGCACATCTTGATTGGTCAGTAGGGTAAGCTAGAGTCCTTCAGAGTTATCTTGGAGCCTGATAACAGGTATCTGTTAGGCGTGTGGTCCAGCAAG